ACCGTCTTTATGCGTGAATTGCGGCATTTTTTTCGGATTTTCTCATCAACACTCATATATCTGAATTTTGGACATGAGCTGTGGATTATTGCAGATTTTATTTCAAGACTTTTTTCTCCTTACATTTTTCAGTGTTTTTTCACGCCTTATGCCTACTGTTGCATGATTTTTCCACGCATCATACTGATTTTGGCGCGCCCAGTATTCTTTACTGAGCGTAATAAAATAAATAATAAATATCCTTCAGGATTTCGATCAGAGATGAACAAATTGCTTTTCGGACCACAAAAAGTGTATAGACGTTTTGAAAAACGAAAAACGCTAAATAAATAAAGCATCACGTCATATCGTCGGTCGTCAACGTGTTAAAAAAAAGCAAATCTTATCATACAGAACTTATGAAGCTTTACAGATTGTACTCTCATGCTCAGTATTGCAACGCTTTCCACAGTGAAATCAACGGGCCGCAGTTATCGTCAATAATTTTGGTTGGAGGCGGTAGAGTAGCGATGGTGATGAATGAGTTTACCGCTATCATATTTCACAAGCACAACTTCACCATCGACACAGAAATTGTATTTCTATCGGAACCTGTTAACTAAAAGGAGTAAAGGGCAAATAAAGGGCAGGGCCGAAAGCAAATACCGTAACGAGAAAAAGCGCACACTTGATGCACGCCTACCTACCTAAGAGTAAGGGGAACAATGGACATGAACCGATCCTAAAGCTCTCTTCTCAATAAAGAACGCAGTAATGGGTTGTAAGGATGTAACGTGCCAGTCGGGTCATTGGGTATCGTTTTCCACATATCGCCTGTTTGTTGAATAAGTGATACTGTATACCATTTAAGTCTTTTTACCCTCACAATTGCAAGACGGTATGAAACAAGAATGAGATAACCCGAGGACCCAACACAAGTGGAGCAGAACACCGCAATCTTAGCCTAACTCCTACATGCGGCAATTAGTACATCGGAATGCGGTTCCGAAACAATGGTTAACGTTTAGGCTACAATGCAACCATGTAGGGGCAGCTTTGTTTGCGAATTTATTAGGTTGAGCCATAAGTCCTTGAAAATTTTGTGCCTAAACTGTAGCACCACGGAAAGTAAAACAAGAGTAGCAAATCATTTGAAACATCCATTAATATCGATCTTCTCTTGCCAACATGTGGGTGGGTTGAGAACGTCCTTTCTTCCAGGACAGGCAGCTGGGCCTTGAATAATCCAACGCGTGCTTTTCCGACGTCGTCGCGAGTTTTGAAGTTCTGACCTTCTGGGTAGCGTTGAAAGTCAGAAGATAGATGGGTTCGCAGAGCACGAGATTTATAGAGTAGGGAAAATGAAAAGTATAATCTGCTATAGCAGCTCTCTGTCGCCCTGCACTAAAAGGTCTGGCAATATCATGGTGGAGGCGAACATTGGCTTGCTATTCCCACCTGTTTAGGAGATAGACCTTCAGTTTCCGCACACAAGCAACTCAGATGTCAGTGATTTGTACCATCTCTCTTCAGTGGGTTCCAATTCTATGCAGAAAATAGTCCACCAGATGCATTGCTCCTCTTTCTTCCCATACGTTTCGGGTTTCGGGTCGTATTCTGCTTGGCTTCCTTTGCCTAGCCATTGGGCGTGGCGGCGATCGCTGGAGTATAAAACCCTCTACTCATCCCCAGTAATTTAAGTGTCGCGCCAAGCGTGTGTGCTTTTAAGGGTAGTGAAAAACAGCAACACCATGACCCTCAGATTCATGTCACGCCGTCTTAATGCATGTGGTACTCATTGGCCAAGTTTTTACCTTGCCAACTGACTTCAAACCGCGGACCGTTGTGGGTTGGCCAACACCAAGAATTGCAGACAGCACGCGAGTGGTTTGACTCGGTTTCGTCTCCATCAGCTTGTATGGTATGTCCCAGTTTAGCGCTCTGTACAATATCATTACCGATGGAGCAATCGTCTCCCTTGATCCTGGCAAACCAAGAGTAGACTGTGCTATTAGCAATTCATTCTCGTTATGGGTTTTCTGCCGGCGGAGATTGTACTAATCAGGACACCAGAGAACAAGCATATCATTGTGTCGAGGTGTGGTAGTGTGGAGGGCATCAATTTCGGAAGCATATCAGCAATAGGTACCGCATTTAAGTGATGGTTGGGATTGTTCTACGAAGCGTTTCCTCCTCTATCGAACGTTTTTTCGACTTACCCTGCTGACGTCATTACTGGCGAAAAAAATAATTCTGAATAAGGGCCATGAAAGTCCGAGGACTTACGACTCAACCTTACACATGATAACTGACTTATTGAAACTTTTACAGAGGTCTCAAGCGGTCGTAAAACCCAAAAGTGCGCGAGTTTCCGATGTTAAACAAAGTAAGAATGCACTTTTCATGAAGCTGGTAGTAGTCGATTACTATGAATCAGTAAAGGTTGGGACAGAGTACTCTATAAGACACTGCTGTTGGAACGACCCCTATTCAGCTCTTCCAGAAAATCGTCGATGCATCTCATCCTCATCTAGCACAACACTAATATTGGGCAGTATGTTTGGATCCATGCTGATGAAGTCGTTGATGTTGTTCAAACCATTCTTCGAAATCGGTTCCCAGTCCGGAGGTGGTGCTATCCATTCTCCATTTTCATCTTTCATATGTGATCGGTCACTCGAGAAATGAGTCAAGTACTCAACGCATGGGATGACACGAAAACATCTTAAGCTTTTGGAATATTAAACTTTGACAACCAAATAAAACCAGATAGGTCACCTGCTGAACTGAGGCGGAATGTTCCAGTCTTGCGGCCGAATGCTTCCAATCCAATAGTCGTGAAAGCTACACGGAAACGGTAGAACCGTGTCCAAGTCCCAGACCTGAGAGTTACCCTGGTGTAGTTGTTCCACCAGGATAACGTGGTAATCCCATACCACAAAAGGTCTAAATCCAGCTGTCATTCACTAGCATTTCATAAAATAAATCGTTTTGAATGGTGTAAACTGGTGTTCAAACCGTTTAAAATAAAATCCAGTCGATTACTCGATTAGTCGATAATAAAACTTGAGCTCGAAGTTATGCTTTCCACAACTTGACTGGGAAACCGCCTTTCGAACTGGTGCTGGTGATTATAAAGGAAAACCAAGTATTCAAATTCAATTAAAGGAAGCAGTCACGCTGGCTTCCACGCTGGATTTGCTACCCTCGCGTTATCAATCGATAAGGTGTGAGGCAGTAATTGTTGGACGAGTGTAAGCCCATGGAAGATATGATACGATGAGATAAGAAGGTGCGGCTGCTTGATAAGAGGTGCACTCCAGAATGAAAACGGGACGATAACGATAACGGTATCATATCTAGCACGCTCTTATCGCACCCCTTTCCACATCGATAAGTCTTGGTTTTTGCTGAACTTGAGTGAATTTCGGCTCCTTATCACTTCATTGATAAGGGGCCACTGCCACTGAAACTTTACGTGTTCTAACATTGGGCAGGACCTCTATCCACTCCAATACATAGCTTTCCTTATCCGGTTGCCATTGAAATTATCGTGGGCTGGTTCCTTTATCTCTGTCAAAGAAGAAGAAATGGAGCGTTAGGGCATGAGCTTCTCTTTCTGGATTCCCACGCTTTACTGTAGGAGCAAAAAAATTAATGGAAAAACGCTACGATGTCTTGTTGAGTATTTTGATTTCAATCACAAGGTAGAGACGCCCTTTGGAAGGGGTGGTGACTGCCATCTTGGCAGTGGCATGGTCGCGCTCGAGCGCGATGCGCGATGCTAGAATTCAGCATCCAACTTTATGGGTATTATAGATTAGTAGCTGTCGTCATGAATACATGGATAGAATCCTTGTTCTTGCACTATTAGAAATTATTCTTATTATTGGCTATGCTAAAGGCCTTCACTATCTTTCTCTGTGTCTTGGAACATGGTATTTTTTGATATGCCTAGATTAATACTACTAGGTAGTGATTCGGCAGTACTTAAAAGAAGTCAGATTAAATCCAAGAATAAATTTTTTCAAGCTTTGGGAACTGTAAGCTTGAACAGACTGCGGAGATCTTGAAGTGAAGCGTGGCTTACTGATGTCCAGCACTCTGGTGTTTATCAGTCACCTAGCCAACTTATTATGGACATGGATGGTAAGAAGAAGGGTCCACACAGAAATCGCCGCAGCAACTGCCGCGCGCGACGATTCTCGCCGCGTGAGCGGCGTGACCTCATTAGCCGACGATTGAATTGACCGTCTCCCCTTTAGGAACTACATAGGTAGTTATCAGCTGTTCCAGTTCTATGAAAACCACAGAGCAACAGGACTCAGCATCAAAAATGTTCACAAACGTACCTTTCAAGTGACGCTCTCTGCGAGAACAGAGGTACACATCGATCAGGATTTGAGATAAAAACAGCGAAGTATCGTGAACGATCATTCACTGGCACTTTTTCACATAGTCTAAAAAGTCCAACACTATTCGATAACTAACGTCAGGGAAGTGCTTGTCAGAGGACATTTCTATCCCACAAAGAATTTAAGAGATCTGCCTTTAGGGATTAAACGTACACAGTTGAACGTGCGTTATGCGCTCAGGCACTGTTTCCGTCAGGTTCCATTGTATTTATGTTCCCTATTTTACCATATACAGCGTGATTCAACATCGACATCACGTCTCCCCGCGCCTGCATTGTGGCTTTATGGGGTTGCACCTTGCGCTTCACGTGCGAACGCATGAACCAATATCGCATCACATCCATGTTATCTACTGTTTTCCACAAACAAGCGCCATCCGGATTTTCATTTAGTTCTCTTTATGCTCCAATTTATTAATAACTAACTAACTTCGGTGCGTTCCCGGTTTAGTTCCCAGCTTCTAAAACGCACATGGGAGACAGCACAGAACAGCTCCCTTCGCACATCAAAAGTGTAAAACCACGCTGTTCATTTGATTCTCTAGCGAGTTCCATTTTCTCTGTTTTGCATGGTGGTTTCCACCCCGGATGCAATTCGGTGTACTGAGAACGAATTCAATCACAAGTGGTAGCATAGACACCAATCTATTTATAACGATTCCAGAAACATCACTGCAATTCAGTTCGCTTTTGAGATCGACAACAGAGCGGCACAATTCCTCAAAGAATTCTTTTTTATAATCTTTCGACTCGAAATGTTGTACAACTAGAGTACGTGGGTGAAAATTTATTTAACTACAGTAACCTCGGTTAAGTAGCTTCAGAAAATAACAATTAGTAACATCCCCATCTAGCCCATAAAGAATTTTAGGCAACAAACTCCCCAGTTTCCTGACGTAATAACAAATGAAGAAATCAAAACCGATCGATA